TCATTAAAACCTTTTTTCCTTTTATGGGTAATCAAACCCTAACTCTATAATTAAAAAGTAGTGTGTCAATAAATTCTAGCATTAAATTGAAGGCTTTAAACTTATCAAAAATATGATTAGATCATGAATTAATCAATAACAACAATAACCTAGCCTCAATCCCTAACCAATTATACGAAATTCCCAATTTCTAGGGTTTATAATTTGGGGTTTTTTATTAAATAAAACACAAAGTATTGGGTTTATAATTTGGAGTTTTGATTAAATAAATAAATCGTCTTCTATGTCATTTTGTTGGTTTCTGGGTTGGTTTTGTAGGATTGGAGTTGGTGTTGCTCTTCGTCGTCTTTTTCAACGCTATTAGAGTAGGTTCGAAGGAGATCTATTGAAAAAGAGGACGAAGAAAAGGGGTTTCTCGGTCAGCCGAGGGTTACTTAGTCGACCAGAGGTTACTAGCTAGGTCGGGGCTACTAGGTCGATCAAGAGTTAATATGCCAGGGGTTACTAGGTCAGTAAGGGTTACTAACTAGGTAAGGGTTACTAGGTCGGTCAGGGGTTATTCCGTCAGGAGTTAATAGGTCAATCAGGGGTTATATGCTATAACATGCATGCAAGATAATCGATAGCCAACACTTAGGCCCTGTCATGCCTTTAGAATTTATTTTCATTTCAGTTTAGTTCAATTCAGTCTAGATTAGTTCAATTTAACTCAATTTAGGGTTTAGTTCAATTATTAGATCAGTTAACATATTTTAATTATCAAGCTATTATTGAAAGATAATTTCAATTCACAAGTACATATATTGATATATGCTATAACATGCAAGCAAGAGACATGAAATGAGCATTATAATATTTAATTTTAAGAAAAAGAGAAATAACTGTTATGAATTATATATATAGAGAGAGAGAGAGCTAAAGAAGTATTTTACTATCTGTAATATTATCGCACTACAGATGAAAATGAGAATGGGTGAATTTTCAAGTGCATTTCACCATGTATTTATTGTAGAAACATGCTACTACTAGATATACATTAGTCATACATATAGGTTACTAGGTTTGGAAAATATTGGCTAATGCATTTAATGGTGATGACCAAGAAGACCAAATAATTGTGTGGCATTCACACAAGTTACTTCATAACACTCCCCCTTGAATGCCCACACAAAACTGAGTAAATGTTGTCTAATTAAAATCTTGCTAGGAAAATATTCTATTATATGATGTAGTGTACTGCCTCATTAAAAACCTTGTCAGGAAAAACCCATTGGGATAAAAAACCTGATCGAAGGGAAAAAGAGTGCAGTGTATATAATGCTCCCCCTGATTTTAACATAGTTTATGAAGACGACGCATCCCAATCTTGTGGACCAACTGCTCAACACTCTTCGAAGGTAGGGACTTTGTAAACAAGTCTGCAAGATTATCAGATGATTGGATCTGTTGGACATTTATCTTCCCCTCCTTCTGCAAATCGTGTGTAAAGAACAGTTTTGGGGATATATGTTTAGTCCTATCACCTTTAATATATCCTTCAGTCACTTGTGCGATACATGCAGTATTGTCTTCGTAAATGATGGTTGGATTTTCAGTTACTTCTTTCATCCCATATTCTTCTTGGATATTGCCGATCATTGACCTTAGCCATACACACTCACGTCCTGCTTCATAAAGGGCAATCAACTCAGCATGATTTGATGATGTCGCAGTCAAGGTTTTCTTTGTTGATTTCCAAGAAATTGTAGTTCCACCATAGGTGAACAGATATCCAGTTTGTGACTTGGCGTTTTGTGGGTCTGATATATATCCAGCATCTGCATATCCGATGAGGGTGGCATCTTGCCTTGATTGATAAAACAAACCAAGATCTTTCGTTCCTCGTAGATATCGTAGTAAGTGTCTTACTCCTTTAATTTCCAGTGTCTCTTCGTTGGTGCGTTACTAAACCTGGCTAACAAATTCACAGAAAAAGCTATGTCTGGTCTAGTATTGTTAGCTAGATACATTAAAGCCCCAATTGCACTTAGATATGGCACTTCAGGACCAAGGACATCCTCATTTTCTTCTCGGGGTCTAAATGGATCATATTTCATATTCGAAGACCGAACAATCAATGGGGTGTTTGTTGGGGTCGCTTTGTCCATGAAAAAATGTTTTAACACTCTTTCAGTGTAGTTAGATTGATGGACAAAAATACCATTATTTAAGTGCTCAATTTGCAGTCCAAGACAAAATTTAGTTCGTCCAAGGTCTTTCATTTCAAATTCTTTCATCAAGTATTTTGCAGTTCTTTCAAGTTCATTTGGAGTTCCAATGATATTCAAGTCATCAACATAAACTGCAACAATTGCAAACCCTGATTGTGATCTCTTAATGAAAACACAAGGACTGATTTGATTATTCTTAAACCCTTCTTTCATAAGGTATTCACTAAGACGATTATACCACATCCTTCCAGACTGTTTCAATCCATAAAGTGGCCTTTTTAATTTTATGGAAAGCAAATGTCTAGGCTTGTGGTTTTCTGGTAATTTTAGTCCATCTGGGACTTTCATATAAATGTCAGTATCCAGTGACCCATATAAATATGCGGTCACTACATCCATCAATCGCATCTTTAGTCCCTCTGAGACTGTCAAGCTTACCAGAAATCTTAACGTAGTTGCATCAACTACGGGAGAATATGTCTCCTCATAATCAATCCCTGGAATTTGAGAAAAACCTTGGGCTACAAGTCTTGCCTTGTACCTAACAACCTCATTTTTCTCATTTCGTTTTCTCACAAATACCCATTTGTATCCAACTGGCTTTACACCTTCTGGTGTAAGGGTTATTTTTCCAAATACTTCTCGTTTTTCGAGTGACTTTAACTCTGTCTTCATTGCCTCTTTCCATTTTGGCCAATCATGCTTGCAACGACATTCTTCCACTATTCTTGGCTCACTATCATTTTCGTCAGATGCCATTTCAATTGCAATGAAATAACCAAATATTTCATTTACAATAACATCATTTCTATTCCAATAATTCCTGGTAGAAACAAAATTTATTGAAGTTTCATTGTTATCGATGTCATGGTCATCTTGTTCATCCCCTTTCGGATTATCATCTTTTTCTTTATTCTCATCTATATTTTCTTGATCTTCCGTAAGGGGAATGTTGTTGATCTCATCGGTTTTTTTTTAGTTTTCTTGGTTTAGAGTCTTTTGAACCAAGTGGTCTTCCACGCTTTCGGCGTGCTAGAGATTCATTTTCAGTGATCTTATCACCAGATGGAATTTCGATTCGTGCAGGTGCATTTTCAGCTGGTATATGTGATTTTGTCACTTTCTTTGCATCTATAAATGCATCAGGCAACTGATTTGCAATGCTTTGTAAATGAACAATTTTTTGAACTTCTTGTTCACACATATTTGTTCGTGGATCAAACATTGACAATTGTGTTGCATTCCAAATGATTTCTATTTCTTTCTTTCGTGGGTCCACTTTCTCTCCCCCTAAGGCTGGGAATACTGTCTCATTGAAATGACAGTCGGCAAATCTAGCCGTAAATAAATCACCGGTCATTGGTTCAAGATATTTAATTATGGAGGGTGATTCTAACCCAACATAAATTCCCAGCCTTCTTTGTGGACCCATCTTTGTTCGTTGGAGTGGAGCAATAGGAACATACACCGCACAACCAAAAAATTTTAGATGTGAGACATTAGGTTCTCGACCAAAAACTAATTGTAGTGGTGAGAACTTATGATAGGTAGTTGGTCTCAATCTAATTAGAGTTGCCACATGTATTATGGCATGACCCCAAGCAGATGAAGGCAATTTTGATCTCATCAATAATGGCCTTGCAATCAATTGTAGTCTCTTAATTAATGACTCAGCGAGTCCATTTTGTGTATGAACATGAGCTACTGGATGTTCTACAACAATTCCAATCGACATACAATAATCATTAAATGTTTGGGATGTAAATTCCCCAGCATTGTCAAGCCTTATTCTTTTTATTGTATGGTCTGGAAATTGTGCTCTTAATTTAATAATTTGATCAAGAATTTTTGCAAAAGCAACATTTCTACTGGATAAGAGAATTACATGTGACCATCGAGTTGAGGCATCAATTAATACCATAAAATATCGAAATGGTCCACATGCAGGATTAATTGGTCCACAAATGTCTCCTTGAATCCTCTCTAAAAATGTTGGAGATTTAGTAGCAATTTTGTTCATAGATGGCCTTATTATTAATTTGCCAAGTGAACATGCATAGCATGTTAATTCATCTGATCGAGGGATTTTGACATTCCTAATTGAATGTCCTACTGAATTTGCTATAATCCTGTGCATCATTCCTGTACCAGGATGACCCAAACGATCATGCCATAAAGTTAGCATATTCTTATTATCTAACTTCTGGTTAGATATTGAATTTATTTCAACTGGTCGTATATCTATATGATATAACCCTGAAGAATATGCTGGCAATTTCTCATACACATGTTTCTTGCCATGTTTTTCTGCCATGAGGCATAAATATTCCTTTTGATCCACTATCATTGTTTCTAAATGAAAACCATTTTGACGCACATCTTTAAAGCTTATAAGATTTCTTCGAGATTTACTCGAATATAAAGCGTCATTAAAGATTAATTTTGTTCCATTTGGGAGTATTATGCAAGCTTTTCCAGAACCTTCTATTAGTTTGGCTAACCTAGAAATGGTATTAACATTTGCTTGAAACAATTTTAACTTTAAAAAATATTTTCTATCCTTCGGAATAGTGTGTGTTGTTCCACTGTCCAAAAGGCATTGAAACTTGGAACCAACTTCGGACGGATCCATATCTTCTAAAATAATAAGTATAAGATTAGTTTAAGATAATTAAACTGGACTTACTTTATTAATGATGAAAAATTAAAAGTACATAACTTGAACATGAAAAACATAAAGAAAAGTACATAAAGAAAACATAATACATATCATAGTAATTGATGAATTATCTAAACATGATTATTCTCTCCAAAGATAAATTCACCACCAGCTTCACCATTGTCTATGAGGAAATCAGATACATCAAAGCTAGTTCCAGGGACATTTTCTTCATTAACGCAATTTGCTTCGGCATGTTTTTCTTTCCCTTTAATGGAAGCCTGGTATAGTTCTACCAGATGTTTGGCCGTACGACAAGTACGTCCCCAATGTCCAGTCATGCCACATCTATAACATGTGTCTTTTCCTTTTGTGGTGGCTTGATTTTTGTTTCCTTGTTGATGCCCCCTTTGAGTGTTGTTTCTAGGGGGGAAATGACCTCTACCACGGCCATGACCACGTCCGCGGAAATTTCCACGACCTCTTCCATGATTATTATATTTTCCACGTCCACCTCTATGAGCAACATTTGTCTCAGGTGGATTTGAGCTTTCTACAGCATTTGTTTCATTGAATGCTTGAGACCCAGTTGGTCTTAGGTTGTGATTCTTCAACAGAAGATCATTATTCTTTTCAGCAACCAATAATGTAGAAATAAGCTCAGAATATTTTGCAAAACCTCTTTCACGGTATTGCTGTTGCAATACAATGTTGTTAGCATGGAATGTAGAGAGTGATTTCTCTATCATTTGCACTTCAGTGACTGGTTGATCACAATATCTCAATATTGATACAATTTTATATAGTGATGAATTATAATCACTGACAGATTTAAAGTCCTGAAATCTCAGGTTTGTCCACTCAAACTGTGCTGAAGGAAGGAGTACCCTTTTGTGGTGGTCATACCTTCCTTCAGGCTATCCCATAGTTCTTTGGGATTTTCCACCATTAAATACTCAGTTTTTAAACTGTTATGTAAATGATGCCTTAAGAGAACTATAACTTTTGCTTTCTCTTGATCAGTAGGAACTTTAACTTGAGCAGGGGCATCTTTTTCGTTTCCTGGGATGGTAATTTCTTTGATTGTATGTTCCAATCCCCGAGCCTTTAAATTCATTTGGGCATCAACTGTCCATTCAAGATAATTATGTCCGAACAAGTCTAATACGTCAAATTGTCTTTTCATCAAGTCTCCCATTTTAACTACAATCAAATAGATAATTATTATTAAGTCAATTGAGTAAGTGATAATTAAAGTAATCAAATTATAATCATAATAATAAGCCATTTTAAAAACATATTTTGCTTCTCCCCCTTGGGTTATTATTATGATTTACATAAAGTTAAGCTAAAATAAAATATGATAATTACGTTAGTTAAACAACAACAGCAATAATAATGATAATAATAACAATAACAATAAATACTACTACTATTACAACATCACCGACAACAACAATAACAACAACAACAACAACAACAACAACAAAATAATGACATACATTAATGATAAGACAAAAGGAACATTTATTATAACAAAATGCACTTATAATCTACCTAGAAGACAAAAAAAGAACTTGAAGTACTACGGAGATTACATGCATTAATTCCCTTTGTCGAAAAACCGAGCGCTACTTATGTAAAATGATGAAAATCATCATTGCCATTAATAAAACTACTAGGGCCATAATTAAAACTAAGTATAGCTTTAATTTCCTTAAATCTTCTTCAAAGGTAAAGGGGTGTGGAGGTTGTCGGTTGCCGGCGGGAAACATGGTGTGGTGGCCGGGAATGAGCGAATAAGGGAGGAAGAGGAAATAATTTGAGTAAAAGTGAGGAGGGGATAAGGATTGTATGGTGAAATAAGGGGGGTGTAATCCGCTTTTTATAGGGGGTAAATTATCCGTTTCAGCTTTACACAACTGTAAAAATATCATACAATGTTCTAGTAGAATGGTAAAAAAAAATTGTAATCAAACTATTAATATTTACAAACGTAAATAAGTATAACACTGGGATGCAAGCCGTAGTGGTCCGAGAACCCTAATCTATTCATGAGGTCAAGGGTTCGAAAACTGAAAGAAATATAAAAGGTGTGTAATCTGAAATAAAATAAATATAAAGGCTGCATCATTTTTTTTCATTTTAGTAATTATGCATAAGTATGTAAGTATGAACATGATTTGTGTGACCATGAAATTTACCTTATTAACATGCATACAACAATAATTTCCACATGCAAAAGTAATTATATGTTACTTTCTATAACCATGCATGAGAGTTACCAAACTAAATATCATAAATAAGGTACGTATTGATATCCTCATTTTTATCAACATGGCTAATTATGTAGAGTAATTTTGTGGAGAAATATATTGTGAGTTTCTGGTTTAGAGGATCCCGTATGGGCAACTATAGAACATACTCCTCAAAATATATTTTGTGAAAGAAATTGAAATTTTTTGTAAAATTGGATAATCGGTATAGGTATACCTGATTGAAGATGGTGCTGATAACGTGTTATGAATTATATATATAGAGAGAGAGCTAAAGAAGTATTTTACTATTTGTAATATTATCGCACTATAGATGAAAATGAGAATGGGTGAATTTGCAAGTGCATTTTCACCATGTATTTATAGTAGAAACATGCTACTACTAGATATACATTAGTCATACATATAGGTTACTAGGTTTGGAAAATATTGGCTAATACATTTAATGGTGATGACCAAGAAGACCAAATAATTGTGTGGCATTCACACAAGTTACTTCATAACAATAACATCATTGATTGAAACTCAATACGTTTACACACCTTTTGTACAAATAGAGGCTATAGTATGCATAGTATATGCATAGTACATAGAAATGATACAAACAAGAAGTCAAACTAGTCAAAGTGCTTATAAAGAGTCAAACGTAATCGCAACAAAGAGTAACGCATGAAAATAATGCAGCAACAATATCAATTTTGGCCAGGAAGTTTGCCGTCCAAGAAAGTATTAACATGGCCTTCAATGGGAGGCCCCATGCTCCCACAGGCTTCGACCGCAAGCCCATCGGCGTTAAGACAACCGTTCATTGGGGATTTGGTTGTGCCGGATGCACGAACGACCCCTGCATCAGCACTCACTGTCACTGTCACCGGAAGATCAACCAGGTTTCGGGCACCCGAGACAGCATAGGCCATCACAAACATTGTCATTGCCAAGAATACTAAAGACTTTGTGAGTTGAGGAGCCATTTCTGTTTAAAGTTTTTAGTGGTATGAAGTCTTATGAGGTAGAGAAGAGAATATGTAAGTATGAGTAATTTTGAGTGTAATTTTATGATATGCAATGTAGTATTGTATAAACCCTTTATATAAGGGTTTCGAAATTATTAATTAAGAAGTTTAACATCTAATAGTTGTGTTCATGTTGTTATATGCTTTAAAATAATTTGTCATGGATCATGAATTTGGATTAGTGTATTATACTAGGCCGGTTTAATATAATACTTTAATAATGCATGTATTACAATTATATTTGATATGTAATTAATTGATCTATTCAACTAGCTAAGAAAGGTGGTTATTATGTTGCACGTCAATTAAATTCCTTATTTTAGCATTAATTTTTTGTGATGTGATATGGATGAAGACGGGGACTACAATATCTTGTTCCAATATTATACTTGATTGCCTCAAAGATGTCGTTTTTAAAGAGATATCTTTGAAAGGTCTTTGAAACATGAAGGACCTCTGTACAGGTACATTGTTACAAACGAAGGGAAAATTCTTATTTAATTGGGTTAATGTGGTCTACTTCACGGGTGATAGATGTTTTTAGCGAGGTATATGGGCCTCTATTCTTGGCTTGAACCCTAGGTAGATGTCCAAGTTTCTTTGGCTTAATTACGAGCTTGGTTTCAAGTTCAAACAATATCTTAGATGAACCAAATTCTTAGATGGAGTTACAATTTAATACGGAGTTCTATATGTGTCTCTATGTTCTGACGTTTTCCATTAAATGAAGGAATATAGTTTCACATACATGAGTTTTGTAGTTCCTATTTCGTTACAATGAAGCCTAGAAATTAAACTTGTAACTATATATACTTCGGATTTGGAATTTTCACTTATAAATTAGATTTAGAAAGTTCTACCTCAAGAACTTTACTTATATAAGCTCAAAATGTAATGTTTCAGGACCAACTCAACCAATAAAGCTTAAGCTGATGGTTGAATTCCAAGAATATGGCGCTTAATATTCCGCTAGAAAGTAGGGGTGGATATGATTTGAACCTGCGATCTTTGTCTCACGTATACTGCGATACCATGTTACAGGATCATTTCAACCAAAAGCTAAAAGTTATGGTTGAAGCCTAAGAATATGTTGTATACTCTATCACGTACAACTCAACATAAGTACTATATATATATATATATATATATATATATATATATATATATATATATATATATATATATTATCAAACTATTCAACTAATATTTATGAACAATTCAATTCACAATAGAAAGATGAAGGCAACAATGGAGCCTATATTCTTTTTTCGATTATTGTTGAGGTATAGCTAACCTTCTTAAACAACACATGTAACGACCACACATTGATGAAATAACAGAGAGCTAAACACTTTATAATGCTAAGAAATCACTCCTCTTACTGCCACATGGTTTTGGAATGGAACGAACCTCTTTGGACTTGTAACTTGGACTATCTCTCTCTTGGTGACGTTTGCGGTCTAGACCTATATTTAATATCATCTTTCATCAAAATAGTGAGATTAATATATAATTCGATCATGAAAATTTTAATATATTGGTCATCAATATATATGAATAATTATGTAATAATTAGGGTCACTAAAATTTTGGCCCGATCACTATGTTTAACATCACTTCAGCTGACACCTACGGATCTCCAGTGCAACATAACATTATTGTGAACCATGTCCAGTTAAGTTTTTCCCCGAATTTATTATCTCTTTGATTTAAAAGACTATCTTGGGTTGATCAAAAGCCAACAATTAATGGCCCAAAAAGAACATAAATCTTCAATATAATATAACTAGACATTTTTATAAGGGTTATCCTGTGAATTTTCAACCCGACCCGTTTTCTTGGGTCTTGAACAAAGTTTTTTGACCTGTAATCCGATATAACCTGAACTCGTTTAACCCGTAAATTGGTCAAATCTGTGACCCAAAGTGACCCAACCCAAAATCACTAGTGACGTGGAGAGACCCGACCCGACCGACTTGATTGACAGATCTAGTTATGCACCAATTATATATTGCAAGAACACACACCATCTATATCCTTTTAAAGATGTTAAAGTGAATGTGAATTAAGGGCTGGTCTTAATCATTTTTTCTTCATGTCATGCATCCTATTGGGTTCGAATTGAGTTCAAGTTGAATCAAGTTCGGTTGATTCAATTCGGGTTCAAATCTACTCGGTTAAGGTTTGATACGTATTTGAAGTAGATTATTTTATTTTCTAGTTAAGGATTGGTTTTGGGTTTGATCAATTTTGGGTTGGTTCATCGGTGGGCTGGAATCAAGTCAATGTTGGGTGGGTTAATTGTCGAATCGGGTTACATTTGGATCAAGTAAAGATTAGGTTGGGTTTGTCAAGTTCGGATTAATTCAAGTATAACTCATCAGTTTATTATTATGTTCATGTTTGGTACAATATTTGTCATTGTATGGTTCTTTTTGTGAAAAACTGAAATTAAATCAACTGGATACCTTATTTATGTTTTTGTTACCTCTAAAACATGTCGTGACATTATTATTAGATAACAAGAGAAAGGAAATGACATTTACACCATTTTTAATTTGTATACGTAAAGGCTAGTATACAAAACTAAACTGAAAAGCAAATAAACAAACCAAACTGAAGGATACATGACTAGTTGACTACATAAAACGTACAAATCAATGAATTGAAACAAGTCAAACCAGTCAAAGTGTTTAAAAAGTAAATTAAAAACAGTAAACTCCACTAAATTAAAGAAGTGCATGAAAATAATGCACCATTGACGTGAGGCAATTATATGATCAGTTTTGGCCAGGAAGTTTGCCATCTAAGAAAGTGTTAACATGGCCTTCAATGGGAGGCCCCATGCTTCCACAGGCTTCGACGGCCAGTGCATCGACGTTCAAACAACCGTTCATTGGGGATTTGGTTGTGCCGGCTGCACGAACAAGCCCTACATCCGCATCCACTGTCACTAACACTGGAAATTCATCGAGGTTTCGGGCAGCCGTGACAGCATAGGCCATGACAAACATTGTTATTGCCAAGAATACTAAAGACTTGGTGAGTTGAGGAGCCATTTTGGTTTAAAGTTTTTAGTATGAAGTCTTTGAAATACAAGGAGAATATGTAAGCAAGAGAGGTGAAAATATAAATATTGAGTTTAATTTTATAATGTGCTTGGTACGATTGTATCAACCCTTTATATAAGGGTTTCGAAATGATTAATTAAGATGAATAATGTGATAAAGCTATATATGCTCAAGTTGTAAGATGCATTAAAATATTTTGCCAGAATACATTATTAAGATTTGTAAATCATATTATTAGGTTTAATTTAAGTACTTTTAACAATGCATGAATTACGCTTTCATTTGATATGTATTATTTGATCCCTTCAATGATTCACAGAACACAGCTTGCAGTTTAATTGCCTAGGATATTATGTTGCACTTCAATGATTTGGATTTATATATGCGATTTCTTTTAAAATGTTGCTTTTAAGGAGATATGAAGTATACGTATTCAACTATTCAAAAAAAAAAAAAAAAATATACGTATTCAATATATGTGCAATGGTATGGGCCGGTGCACAAGATTGAGGCCCATTTAAGCCCTAACCCGACCCAAGAGTAAACGGATCGGACAATTTTCAACTTTAATGGGCTTTATATTGATCTCTGCTAAGTGTTAACCATATCAATGTCTAAGTATACTTTAAGGAACCTTATGAAATGTACTTGTAGTATTTTACAAATACACTTTAGAAGCTCTCTTATGATACCTTTTTAATACGGAGTACTATAATTTCAATAATTGGAAGTGTGCAAGTGATTTTATTGGTGCAAATTAAAATCAAATGATAGTATTAAGGGTACCCTTGACCCCAAGCTAAGAGCTGGCTTAACCTAAATTTGATTGTATTTCATACACATCCAACTACATACAATTGTAAACACGTAACTCGTATTTAATTAATTAAGTATTTTCCTATCCAACTACATATGTATTAATTATGTATTCCTTAAAGTATACTTAGACATATACTTGATTAATTAATAAATATTTAGCGTACAAGTTTTTTTTTTTTTTTTAAGAAAAACGTAATTAATTAATTAATTAATAAGAACTATACATGTAATTAATTAATGAATATTAGCCTATACACTATTAATACACATATTCATTAATTACGTATAACTTATGAGAACTTCGTACTGTACTAATTAAGTATAATTTGCATGAATACTTTGCCTATCCAAATTAATATTTTTTTTTATGGGTATCCAAATTCATATTTTGTATAGGTAAAAGTCTCATGAATTAATTGATGAATCAAGATAGGCTAATAGAATTATGCATTAATTACGTAATTTTATGTTTGTGTGATCCAATTCAATTATTTACGTAATAATTTACATATTCATGAGAACTAAATATTTAATTTATTACTTACATGTATAGGCTAAATATTCATTAATTGATTATGTGTATAGCCTAACTATTCATTAATTACAGAGGTTTTTCAGTGCGGCAAGCTACATGGTGCGGCACGGTTACTTGTATGGGTTACTTGTAGAGTGTTACTTGTATTATGAGGTTACTTGTATCGTAAGGTTACTTGTATCGTAAGGTTACTTGTATGTGTTACTTATATTCTGAGTAACTCGAGACCAAAATCCCATACCAAACCAGTAACACCCTACAAGTGACCCCTGATCAAAACCAATAACAGCCATACAAATAACCCTAGAATACAAGTAACACATGACAAAACCAGTAACACCCTACAAGTAACCCCGACCAAAACCAGTAACACCCATACAAGTAACCCCAGAATACAAGTAACACCTACAAGTAACCCCTGACAAAACCAGTAACACCCTATAAGTAACCCCGACCAAAACTAGTAACGCCCATACAAGTAACCCCAGAATACAAGTAACACCTACAACTCCTGACAAAACCAGTAACACCCTACAAGTAACCCTTGTCGCATCATGTGGCCAGCCACATACAAAAATTTGTACATTAATTAATATATAGCTCTCATGAATATTAATGTGTATAAGTAATCGTATAAGTAAAAGTTATACTTAATTAATGAATATTTATTTATACACGTATTCATGATAACTTATACTTTTTTTTTTTTTGACAAGCATGATAACTTATACTTAACTATTACGAAGTTCTCATGAAGTATTATGTATTCATGAGAACTAAATATTGTAGACACGTGACCCGTACTTAATTAATACTTAGCCTATCCAAGTAATCCAACTACATAACAATTGTATTTATCAAATTAATATACTTTGTATAAGTAAATGTTCTAATAAATTAATCAAGATAGCCTATTAAATCACTTGTTAGATTTTATGCACATAATCTCGTACAATATATGATTATTATCCTGTATACTACTATACGACGCTCTATATAAAGAGAGTCATTTCTAGGGTTTAATAAGGGTCAGATGGAACAAGTCACAAAGAGTCAAAGACCCCATCTCCTCCCTACTACATATCAAATATTATTGGTACATAGTGTGGAATAAGCTGACAAGGCCTTATACCATAAACAAATATTAAAACCTAAGCCTTTTGGAGAGAGAAATCAAGAGACCTACGAGAGTTGTTATACACAAATTATCAATCTAAATATTGGTTTCCTATATTTTTCTACCTCCTTATTTACTACTTCCTTCATTCTAGTAACATTGCAACAATTAGACTTTTACACTATTCGTCATGCTTGTTTGACCACATACTATAAATTTATAAGTAAAGTAGCATACAGTCATGTGAGGTCTTGTTAGATTCATTTTGTAAAACACTTTTACAATATCAACTTTTTATATATTTCAATTTTCACTCTTATATAAATATGAATATTTAGGATGCATAATTTCATCTTTGTTGCAATATCAGTGAGACAGAGGAAATATGAAGTAATAAAATTTACAATAAAACTTAATATAACAAAACTTGTTCAAAATATGGTAAAATAATGAGACATAAGATTCTCAGACAACAAATGAGACAATTTATAACGCTAAGGCCCGAATTTAATATAGCATTAGTATACTTTGGGCCAAATTGAATTATATGTAGTATCACACAAACAAACTTAAAAGAACTCTAAAATAAAACGATAATTATGGATCTTGATCTGCATCAGAGTTCCTTGGTGATCACTCCTTCTTGTTCTTGTAACTCTTGGAATAAAAATCCACAAACAAATACAAAAGAGAAGTATTAAACACCACACCAAAACTCCAAGCATATTTAGGACCAGAACATGGGTACTTCACCAAATGATAGTACAGTGCAACTCCTGCGGCGAAAAACCCGAAAATGAACTGTATAATCTGTATATTTGTGACCATCCTCTTCCAACTCGGCCGCACTCCAAGCGAGCACATTAAGTAGTACCCGTACATAACCGTATGGACCGACGCGTTCGTGACTACCCCTAAGGGAAACAACGACTGAGCCGCGTCGATCCAAATGTAGCACATGATCAACACCATTGAATGGTGAAAGACATGGAGAAATGACAGGCGTCTTCGGGTGCTATTCCCGTTTAAGAGAATCAAGAGTGTGTCTGTAAACTCGAGGATTTTGGACAAGTAGAAGACGTAGCCCCAGAAGAAGACGGGGCCACGTGTTGGGGTGTGGTTAGCAGGGAAGCAGAAGATCCAGTCGGGGTTGGGCATTTGGGATAGGGTGGAGAGGCCGCACCCGACGGCCATCAGGAGGGATAGAGAGAAGGAGAAGAGATTGTAGACTATGGAGATGGAGCGGAGGGGTAATGAGACGGGCCGAAACGAGTACCGGGAGAGGAGTAATGTCAAGGAGATGTAGGAAACAACGGTGAGAATGAGGAACTGAAGTGATGCACCATTTGTTGTGCCTGTTTTCCATTCAAAGTTGTGTATTGTTGGGTGATATACTAGCCAGTTTTTGGCTGTTTTTATCACTGTTTCCATTGTTATTTTGATATTTTTTTTGTATGGGGGAAGTTTGATGACTTTAGAGGGAAGAGAATAGAATGTTAATGTTTATGTTGGATGAGTCATTGTAACTTCTAAGATGGTTTCCTTTTATAGAAGAATTGAAAGTCTATGTATCATTTGCTTTGAATTAGTCATAGATTTTGAGTGTGATGGACTAAGGACTATGTCTTAATTGTCTTGAACTTGTTGAAACATTTTCATAATATATTTTAACTTATTATAAACTTATCTCAACTTATATTATAAGAAGAAAAAAAAATGAATCAAATAAACTCTTGGCCACTCTTTTCAAGAATTAATTAAGGTTTAACATTCAATCCTAATTGAATTCAATGAGATAAGTCACCTTGTTGGAAGGGTTCTCTTTGCTTACTTACTTACTTCCAAGAATCTTCTACTCACTATGTTTCCAATTAAAAGCCTCATTTACCTTTTGCAAAAGTTTTCAGGTAGTAAAAGTTTGGTTGTATGTAATGGTGAATATAAAAACAAGGTAGTCAAATTTGGTTGATCGAGAAGAAGTAAATAAAATAGTGTCTCTTTTCATATATGCTAAGATATATTGGGCAAAATGAGTTTTATTGGAAATGGAGGAGCTATATCAACATTATCAACATTCATCCAAGTTATAAAGTTTCAAAATTCTATCGACTTGTAATATTTCTTTGGGAGTATACATATAACTAATTTTTTGTACAAGTATAGTGTGGTACTATATTAACGCTAAAATCACATATTTCTCAAAATTTTAAATGGAGTAGAGAAAATTGAGCATATGACATATGGTACACATACCTTTAAATTTAATTTTGTAGGCTTTAAACCACATTAGTTTTTTCTAGTAAATAGTAATATTCTCTATTTGTAGTGGAATGTTTGGATTAGGTGAAAGGTTAAATTCAAAATGACTTTGAGATAATGTATAATGTGTCTTGCTAAACTCAAAGTCCACTTTTTCTTTGTGCACCAAATGATATAAAGTAACAAAATTTACCTTTGTTTTCATTAGTTAAAAGAATAACTTGTTATTAGCACTAACAAGCTCACTCTATCTCACACAATTTATGATAAAAATTTGCTTCAATTGAAGCTTCATTTTTACACACTCAACTTTAGGCACGCCGCCGGTACACGACCATTTTCAAGATTTTAAGCAACAACTACATTTATTCAAACAAGTAAATATCAAGTATTACTTTTATTTTATTTATTTTAAACTAGATTTCATACATGATATTTGCTAGAAAATGTTGCAACTTTAGCTTTTAGGTTGGAGAGGGTGATAGGTGGCTTGTAGAACCACACAAAATGTTCGACGTAATTTATGACTCTGCTTTGTTCTATATATTTTATTTGTTTTGTATAAGACAAATAAGTTATGTCATAATGAAAATTAATTCTAACATGGTCACAAAATAATTTGTACTCCATCCATCCCCAAAAGTTCAACCATTTTGGTCTAATTTTAATCTCAAAATGATCAACTCATTTGTATTAAAATACCAACCAATTTACAATAATATTTATGCAAAATTAGCTTTCTCACATAAAATTATATTTTTTTCATGTAATTTTATTACTTTCTCTCTCTATTTTTTATAACCCCATGTAAATTTATCTTTCCATTACACTTTTACTTTTTTTGTATTTAACTTTCTTAATACCCGCGAAATCAGTCCAAAAGGGTCATTTTTTCGGAGATGGAGGAAGTTCTATATTAATGAATATTCACATAGGTTCGTACTTCGTATAACATAAGCCTACAAGTGTTTCTACTATATAAATTGAATAAAAAAAGTCTTCATTCCTGCATATTTATTGATCAAAATGCATGCACATAGTCTTCTGTAGTCGCTTAACAAATGACGAGTTCAAATGTTCAGAAATTCAGATAGTATTGAAGTATTTAGGGTCTATTCTAATTGACTGAACTGAACTGGACTGAAATGAGCTGAACTGATTGAACTGAACTTGGCAGTGAACTTAACTTAACTGAATATTTTATGAGAGAAGGAAATTAAGAACTGAATTGAATTGAAAATAATCTGAATAAAATAGTAACTTAGTATTTTAGAGCCGAGTTAGGGAAAATGAACTATGAGATTCTCTCTATTGTTGAATATTTATAATAGTTTAAATAGTACACATGCCAAGGTTGGTAACCTATACTCCATATATGTTATTCAATATTACTCCTACTAAGATTTTTTAATTTTTTAAATGTTAAAATATATGTTGTAAGTTGAAACTAATGTAGGAATTTAGGTACTCTAAGCGCAGTTTTATGAATCATATTTATACGCACCTAAAACAAGATTACATGCATAATCGACAAATTTAATGGCTTGTTAATTATTCATCAATATGTAGATTATTTAACAAAATCTAAAATCATAAGATAGGAAACAACATTCCTAAAAGATAACCTACTATAACCATAAATCCTAAAGATATATTCATTATTACAAATTTTTTTATGCGGCTGGCCACATGGTGCGGCAGGGATTACTTATAGGGTGACACTGGTTTTGTCAGGGGTTACTTGTAGGTGTTACTTGTATTTTGAGGTTACTTGTATGGGTGTTACTGGTTTTGGTCAAGGGTTACTTGTAGGGCGTTACTGGTTTTGTCAGGGGTGACTTGTAGGTGTTACTTGTATCATGAGGTTACTTGTACGGGTGTTACTGGTTTTGGTCATGGGTTACTTGTAGGGTGTTACTTATTTTGTCAGGGGTTACTTGTATTCTAGGATTACTTGTAGGGTGTTATTGGTTTGGTATGGGGATTTGGTTTAGAGTCACTTGTAGGAGTTACTCAAAATACAAGTAACACCTACAAATAACTCATACAAGTAACCCCACGATACAAGTAACCAATACAATTAACCTCATAATACAAGTAACACCCTACAAGTAACCCATACAAGTAACCCCTGCCGCACCATGAGACTTGCCGCACTGAAAAACCTCTGATTCATTGTCAATAAGCAAAATATGTTACACATATATTTTCCATTATGATTTGATCCCATATCTCTAACACCCTCTCGCAATCGATTACTCTGTTTGTCACCTTCATTTTTTTTCCACATTGTTGAAGCCGATCGAGATGCACTAATTTGTGTCTCTGTTGATGTGGCCTTCAATTTTATTAATTTTTTTTTTTTTGAATGATTAGAACATTCATCTTTTCGAACTTGCAAAAAACATTATAACGAGAAAGTTTTTTTTTCTCAAACTCGTCATTCATTTGGTTTTTCCACACTCAAAGCATTTAAAACCCTTGTCTCACGGCACTAGAAGAACCAATATAAACTCTGTCTTCCAGGAGAAGCTATATGTCTTGTACCACAGAGTGCCAAAATTCTTTTTTTTTTAAAAAATCAAATTACAGGTCAAAGCTCAGACAGTCAGACCCTTGTTTTCACCTCGTCAACAAACTCACCAAAAACTTCCTCCCATGATTATATTGGGGCAAGCATCACAAACTACAAACAATATCACGCATGCATGATTCTTTTAAGTATTAAAAAATCTAATACCTCCGTTAAATGTATGTGCAACTTTGGGGTATTATTTGTGAGATATAAATATTTTAAAGTTGCGCATAATATTTAACGGAGGTAGTATATATAATTTTGGCTAAAGGTTCATCCCACCGGTAAGTTTAATATTCTAATCTGCCGGCAGGTGAAATTTTTTTTGCTAACACTCCCAAGATCTAACCCACTCTTGATACCATGGCAAATTTAATAGCTTGTTTATTATTCAATAGGTAGAGCATTTATACAAAATCTAAGATCATAAGATAGGAAATAATATTCCTAAAAGATAAACTACTATAACCATGTATCCTAAAGGTATATTCACTACTAAATATTATTGACTATAAATACTGAAAATATATCACCCATATATTTTACAATATGATTTGATCCCATATCTGTAACAATAACACACAAGAACCACATAATTATACGTTTGAAGCGTGATTTCCACATCACAACTTGATTGACAATTAGGGAGAGAATAAAGCCCTAAGCGTTGCTCGTCTATCGAATGAGTCGTCCACCAATACTAGATTGGTCAGATGAAGGAGAAACACCACGATCACCACCTTTGCGGACAACCGACACCACCATGAACCAACACCACCGTACACCTAGGCAGCGTAAGGAAAGACAGAGAGTGCCTAGAGAGAGTTTGAGAGGGTTGGTCTCATGTTTGCTAACTTGGGTTTTTTAATTAACAGTAAAAATTGTCTTATGAAAAACCTAGACACCTAAGTTTATAATCATATTATAATTAGACTAGAAGCAAAACCCAAAACCCTCTACACTCCTCCCTGTGGCCGACCACCTAGAGGGATGATGTCCAATATGGGTCTCTTCCTCTTATGCTCAATTATTTAGGCTTTTTGTGTGACCTTATAGGACATCAATTTTTGGATGAGGTCGCGCTCAGCCAGCGAATGAACATTTATTTCTGAACATTACATTATAGAAAAATGAACATTTATAATGTAAGAGTAAAATAAAGAGACAATAAAACAGGAAAAAAAAATTGTACATTCAATATCATATACGGAGTAATTGAACATTTCAATTGTAAATAAAAATGAACAAATGTTATTATTTCTTATTCATCAAAAAAAAATTTAAGTTCCAAGTTAAATACCTGGATTTGTTCAATTCTATATAATTTAATACCAATTAAAACAATATGTTTTTTTAATAATGAACAAAATTTTAATGTCTTACAAAGTTATAATATTAATGCATGAACATCCTTTATTATAAAAACAACCCTTTATACAACTGAGCAAGTATAAAAATTTGTATTAACTAAAAAATAAAATGAATATTAATTTTTATAAGAATGAACATTATACGGCATGAAAATGAACATTTATTTAATAAAAATGAATATCATACTGCATGAAAATGAACATTTGATTATTGAAAATTACAAAAATATTGTAAAATATATTCAGTTAGAAAATGTTTATTTTTAATATAGTACTAGGTTAAGTCACGTGCCATGCATGGTAATAATTAAACTTTATAACAAAAATTATAAAGAATGATGTTAATTTAACAATAATTTACCAAAAAAAATATTTGTAACAAAATAATAGTCTTTAATTAAGGATATTGATGGTTAAAGTTGTATCTCGACAAATGT